AGTCCTTGGGCCCCTGCACCCACATGGGAGACCAGGAAGATGCTCGCTTCGGATCAGCTCAGCTCCAACTGTTGTGGCCAACTGGGGAGTGAAACCAGGAGATGGAAGACTTCTCTCTCTGTGTGTAACTCTTTCAAATAAATAAATCTTTTTTATCTATGTATTTATTTATTTATTATTTGATGGGTAGAGTTACATTGAGTGAGAGCGAGAGAGAGAAAGGTCTTCCATCTGCTGGTTCACTCCCCAAATGGCACTGCGCCGATCCGAAGCCAGGAGCCAGGTGCTTCTTCCTGGTCTCCCATGTGGGTGCAGACGCCCAAGCAGTTGGGCCTTGCTCCACTGCCTTCCTGGGCCACAGCAGAGAGCTGGACTGGAAGAGGAACAGCTGGGACTAGAACCCAGCACCCATATGGGATGCTGGCGCCCCAGGCAGATGATTAACCAAGTGAGCCACAGCGCCGGCCCAATAAATCTTTTTTATTAAAAAAGGAAAGTACAAGTACAACAGTTAGGACTCAAAGAGGCACCCACGAGATGGTGGCATTGTAAATGCAGGCTTAACCAGCTGTGCCGTAACATTGGCCCTCTTCACCTCCTTTTAAAAGTCTATTCTGATACAGTAGTTTAACACACACCTTGGGCCACCGGCATCCCATATCAGAGTGCCTGGTTTGAGTCTGGGCCCCACTTCTGATTCTAGCTCCCTACAAATGTGCACCTTGGGAAGCAGAAAGTGATAGCTCAAGTACTGGGTTTCTGCCACCCACACAGGAGAACCAAATGGAATTCCAGGTTCCTGCTTCTGAAGAGGCCCAGCCCTGGCTGCTGCAGTCATCTGGGGAATGAACCAGTAAATGATTAGTCTATCTTTGTGTGTGTGCCTTTCAAATAAAATGAAAGTAAATGATTTTTTGTTTAAAGTGAACCAGGGCCAGCATTATAGTGTAGCACACTAAGCAGCTGCCTGCAACACCAGCATTCTCATATGAGCACAGTTTGAGTCCCAGCTGCTCTACTTCCTGTCCAACTCCCTGTCAATGTGCCTGGGAAGGAGAGGAAGATGCCCCCAGTGCTTGGCCCCTGCACCCAGGTGGCAGACCCAGATGGAGATGCGGGTTCTTGGCTTTGGCCTGGCCTGGCCCGGCCCCTGCCATTACAGCTATTTGGGAAGTGAACCAGCAGATGGAACAATATCTAACTCCAATCCACTCACTCCCTCTCCCATGTCTGTAACTCTGCCTTTCAAACAAATAAATCTTAAAAAAAAAAAAAAGCCTACTACACAATCAGGTTCACGAATGTAAAAAGTGATCCAAGGATCAAGAGTCCTGGAGGCCACAATTTCCTCAGTGAGCTCAGAGGATGAAGTGAGAATTTTCGGTGTGAATCAGCGAACGGCTGAAACCAGCCACTCTGTGTATATACCTTTCCAATTCCTTTCTGGATAGGAAAGTGAGAAAGCTACGTTCTAACACCTGATCTGTGGGAAAATCTTCCAAAACAAGACAAAATAAACCTTTAACAAATAAACAGAAATCTAAACTTGTTAAGGACTAACCTTTTTATCTGACATCAGACACCTACCCAGAATATTGCAAGTCAGGGCTCCGAGTGACAGACAGGAAGTCTCCTCACACGACAGCGAGGCCCCGCTGATTCTGTCTGTACACTGACCAAGTAAGTTTGGTTGTGAAATACTTCCCACTGGTGGTTAAAAGCAGTAAACTCCATCAGGAGCCGAAGCAAAGAGAAGCTGAAGAACCATAAAGGTTCCCCTTCTTGGAGCAGGGAACCAAATGCTTCCAAAAAGGTAGATCAGACTCCACCCAGAACTACGCTGGCCTGATACCACTGACACTCAGCAGAATCACTCACCTCCATCTCTTATCCCAACTGAAATTCGACGACTCATGGTTAATCTAATAAAGCCTTTATCCATGGTAAAGCAGATCACTAGGCCAGCACTTCATTCTAATGCTACCCACCACTACCCTACTCATAACCTTGGAAGAAATAGTAAGCTCGCTTTCATTATTCACTTTTCCTTACTCAATTACCTCAAATATTATCTGCTCACTGTTTTCACTTTATTTCTTCACTATTTAACATTAATGGAATCACAAAGGAAAGGTCATCTAATTTTTTTTTTTAGATTTTTATTTATTCATTTAACAAGTAAAATGACAGACAGTGAGAGAGAGAGAGACAAACAGAGAGAAATGTCTTCCTTCCGTTGGTTCACTCCCCAAATGGCCACAATGGACAGAGCTGCACCAATCCAAAGCCAGGAGCTTCTTCCTGGTCTGCCATGCCCATGCAGGGGCCCAAGTTCTTGGGCCATCCTCCACTGCCTTCCCAGGCCACAGCAGAGAGCTGGACTGGAAGAGGAGCAACCGGGACTAGAACGGGTGCCCATATGGGATGTCGGCGCCGCAGGCGGAGTTTTAGCCTAGTGCGCCACAGCGCCAGCCCCCAGGTCATCTAATTTCAACCTGAATCACAGCTTTCTAAAGAGACATTTTACATATGAGTTCAGAAATAAAACGGGTCATTGTACAAGATTCATTTTACCCCCCAAATTGTTGCTACACTTCATATAAATGCACTGTTATGGTTTGACGACTACAGGTACACAGCTCCTACCTACAAGGCAGTGGCCACTTCTGCCCATTCTGTTCCTTCATGCGCCTTACAGGGCACCTGAATATTCCTGAAATGTCTTTCAAAGGAGTTTCATGTATCATGTATAATTAGTGATTTTGGAAAAATCACACCAAGAATCTTAAGACCCTTGAGCAAATGCTAGTATAGTCACTAGATGGACACATGATGGAAGCTAATGTTTGATGTAATATAAAATAAAGAATCAGGATAAAAATTATATATGAAATGCAATGAGAATTACTTCTTCTTTAAAACTGTTTTGGAAAAATGGTTGGAAAAAATGCACAGAAAAGTCAGCAGCACTGGTGCTTGGGGCCTAAGGTTCATGGTTTTCTGAATATGCTAAATTTCACTCAGTGCACAAGTTTTACAAAGAAATTATAAAAAGGGGTGGGGGGGCGGCACTGTGGGGCAGCGGGTTGACCCTCTGGCCTGAAGCACCGGCATCCCTTATGGGCGCCGGTTTGAGACCCGGCTGCTCCACTTCTGATCCAGCTCTCTGCTGTGGCCTGGGAAAGCAGCAGAAGATGGCCCAAGTCCTTGGGCCCCTGCACCCACATGGGAGACCTGGAAGAGGCTCCTGGCTTGTCGCTTCGGATCAGCTCAGCTCTGGCCATTGCAATCATTTGGGGAGTGAACAAGTGGATGGAAGACCTCTCTTTCTCTCTGTCTCTCCTTCTCTCTCTGTGTAACTCTTTCAAATAAATAAATATTTTTTAAAAAAAGGGAGTGGGGGCTGGCACTGTGGGATAGCGGGTAAAGCCACCACCTGTAGCGCTGGCATCCCACATGGGTGCTGGTTCAACTCCTGGCTGCTCCAATTCCAATCCAGCTCTCTGTTATGGCCTGGAAAAGCAGTAGAAGATGGCTCAAGACCTTGGGCCCCTGCACTCATGTGGGAGACCCGGAAGAAGCTCCTGGCTCCTGGCTTCGGATGGGCCCAGCTCTGGCTGCCTCAGCGATTTGCGGAGTGAACCAGCAGATGGAAGACCTCTTTCTCTCTGCCTCTAACTTTGCCTTTCAAATAAATAAATAAATCTTAAAAGGGGAGGGAGGGGGAGAGGGAGGGAGGGAGAAAAAGAGGGAAGAAAGCAGGGAACAGTAAGGAATACTGCTTAGAGGAACGCAAACGGTGTTAGTTATCATTCCACAAGTCTTATAATCAAACTTCCCTAGCAAGGAACTTTCTAAGAGATCATAACTAATAACTAAACCATAGACAGCTGGAGGGACATCTCACCTAATTCCGTCATTTGAGAGGTGAAGAAAACACCCGCGTGATTCTTTACGGTTTACAAAAACAAAAAATCCATCAATCCTAAAACCGGTGTACATGGCCCATCTTAAGATCGATGTAGAGAGAGTATTTAATAACAAGCCGCATCATTTACCAAATGCTTACCACGTGCCAGTCTCCGGACTAAGCACCACTCTGTGAAAATCATTTACCACTTTACAGACAGAAAAACGGACGCGCCTAGGCTCATACAGCTCAGTCACCGCTCCGATCACAGGAGTCGGACTCCTATATAACCCGACTTCACAGGCCCCGTTACCGCACCCGGCTCCCAGGGAGGTCATTAGGTGGATGCAGGGGCAAAAGCACCAGGTCCAGCACTACCCAACAGCTGTGGGCGAGGCGGTCCCCGCAGCTTCGGCGCGGACGGGATGAACAGGGCTTCATTCGTCAAAGTGCAGCGGGGCACTCAGAGGAGACAAGCACGCTCTCCTACCTCGTCGGCAGGGACAGGAATAAAGCCCAACACTCCCAACAATGGCAGCACCGTGCACTCGCCTAACAGCACCATTGCCAGCGCGCCTTCACGTTCATCTCGGCGGACCCTCACTCCGGCCTGCGGGCTGGGCCGGACGCCCCGCGTTACACAAGGAGCTGGAAAGAGCGCAGGTGTGGGCCGGCTGGCCGACCATAAAAGCAAAGAGTTTACGAGCCGGAGGCCAACACCTAGGACCACTGAGCACCTGGACCCAGTGAACGAAGAGCCCGCGGCGGGGACAAGGGCCAACGAGAGGCCGTGGCTCTGGGGCTGTTGCCCGCCGAGTTTCAGGGACCTTGCATGTCGGCCCGGGAGCGTCGCTACTCACGTTGGACCAGCCGGTCTCCGCTGAAGGTAGAAGAGCAGCTGGTGACAAGCGCACAGGGAACGCCGGCAGCCATAGCTGCTCGGGACAGCCGGTTCCGTCCCGGAGCCACTTCCGCCTTGGGCTGTACCACGGCGAGCTGGCGCGCGGGGGAGACACGCCAGAAGCGTCCGAGTTCTCAGAACCAACCAAATGGCCTAACCCAACCCTCACCCCCCGCTTCCGCTGCCGGCGTAGAACAGGCCGGGCCGCGTGCCGTGTTGCCATGGGGACGAGCGCTTCTCAGGTTTCCGAGCCTGGAGGCCGAGCCTTTGGGGGGAGGCATCCCTCCTCGTCCTAGCCATGGCACAGGAGACTGAAAACTACGACCCCATCGGAACCATCTTATGCCAGGTGGGAAACGGGCCTTTCCCGGCACTGCCCAACTTCCGAGCGAGGCTTAGTAGCGCCGGTTCAACGCGCCCACTCGTTTTGGGGCGAGAAGGGTTCCCCCAAAACACCCACCCGCATCCCTTCCGCGGACCCAACACCCTCAGGGTGGCGTTGCCCGGAGATTTCGCTCCAGCAGCACGGCCGCCCTGTCTCTGATAAAACTCCACGACCCCGGAACCTACAGGAAAAAAAATCCATCTTACACCGAAGCACCATTATAAAATGTTATACCCTGAAAAATTTGAACCCGTGCTGTCGGGGCATGGAGGAGACGCGAATCAGACACACTGGAAGGTGATCAGGAATTTGGGGAGAAAATGGAAATGTGTGGAGTACTTTTCCTAAGCACCCCAATTTTGGGGAGCAAAATGCCCATTGTTGGGGAGCACACCCAGAGGAAAATATATCAAAGATGACTTGTATTGCACATCAAATGTGACAAATTTAAAAATTCAGGGGAGTAACTTTTTTAATCAGAGGTGAGAAGTATGAAGAAAGTTTTGGCATCTCCGGTGTAACTCGGTTTTGTAGCAGGTACAAATTTTTCTGAAATGGTTAAGGCACTTTGTTTTCTCACACTCAAATGTGGTGGCGTTAAAATGTATATATCATCACTTTTATGTTTCGTTCCTCTAGGCTGAGGCTTGAAGTAATGGGCCTTAAACCACTCCATCAGGCTTCTCAGGGGGTGTGAAGTGATGTTCCCTCATCAAATGCATCTAGTTTTCCTGTCCAAATTTTGATCTCATCATTGAGCGACTTCCTTCACTTCACTTCTTTTCAAAATACAAGCCCCTAGTCACCAATGTCATGGACTTCCCTGACATGATTCCTACCTAAATCTTACCTAGTATCTTTGAGCATCACCCTGCTGTGAGTTTGGGCAAACTCACCGAAGTCTGAAGGAGCGGGTCTCTCACGGCTGCCCTGGCTTCCACTGGTTCAGGGGATCAGAACCACCGTCACTTCAGACCAGCTGGCTGCAGATAGAGGGGCCTCGCGACCGCCCTCACACTCAGTAATTAATGAGGACGACCTTGGAACTCAGGACCGGCTAAGGGAAGGAGTGCATAGGACAGGATCCCGGAGGCTCCCAGACAGAGCTGCTGGACTTCGTGTCCCTGTGCGTCCACACTGTGTGACCATGTGCACCGCGTGTTGCCAGCTGCAGAAGCTGCCTGGGGCTTTGGGCATCCAGAGGTTGTATTGGGCTCAATATCACATGGCCCTCGACGACGACCTTTAGTTTGCAGCCCCTCAGGGTTGGGAGGCAGACTAATGTCTTTAGTCTCCTGTTTCTCTATACATAGGAACTGACACAGTGCGGCTTATAAGTCATGCTAGGCTGCCTGGTGGCCAAAGACCTAAGACAAAGACCCCTTTTTTCAGGCTGGACATTTCAGGGCCCTAGAAATCAGTTCCCGGTAGCAAAGGACAAACCTCCCTTCCTGCATACACCGCGTCTTCTGATAGATCCTAAACACTTGGAACACCAGTGGAGACTCCTACCTAGAAACAGCCAGCTCTTCCTCGCAGTACACTTGGGTGACTGGCGCAATCCAGTTTCTCTTTAGTTTATTTCACCAGCCCATAAATGGCTCTTTAAAAGAAAGAGAGACGAGAAAGGAGAGAATTCACATGCGCAATTTCTGTCTTTCTCTTGACATAATGTTCTTTCTGAAGGCTGTTCTTCTTGTGGTTCATAATGGTGCAGGGTCCGGCGTTAAAAGCCTGCTTCGGGGTGGATCCAGAGGGAGCTGTTTGGTCAACCTAAGATACACCGTTAGGGTCATAGATACCTGCTGACCTTGAACAGTGAACTTGGACAGAAGAGCTAAGAGTCAGAACCCCTGTTGACCCACACCCTTCCCTGTCTAACAGGGTTACTGCCGACACTGAGTGGAAGAGGAGCGCCTACATGTTAGCCCGGTTATTGAGGCTGATCTCTGCAGACTGTCAGCTTCTCTTCATGTAGGCCTTGAGGGTTCTTCAAAAGTCCATGGGGGAAAAAAAATCTATGCATAGATTTCCAAAAATGTTAGCACCAAAATAAACTTAGAATGCCATTGTCCACGAACGCTTTAAAGTACCTTCACGTGTATAACGAGGAGTTGGAGGACCCTCCCCACTCTCCCAGCAAGCCCTTCATATGTGTGAGCGTGCAGCACTAGGCCAAGACACCAACGTGGACTCCATCTCTGGTGGAGGCTGTGGTCCGTTGCCTTCAAACAGTCTACAATAAGCAGGATGTCTCGCGGAAGGAGCACTGGTTTTGCAGTCAGAATATTGAGGTCTGGCCGTGACCTTGGCATTCTTTCTGGTGGGTAACGTTGAAGTAGTTTCATCTCCTAGGATGAGAAGAGCTAGGACTAGATTCACCTCTTCTCAAAGTGTGGTCTCGGGATTAGCAGCATCATCACCACCTGGGAACCTGTGAGAACTGCAAACTCACAAGCCTCACCCCAGACCTACCAGTCAGAAGCCCCGGGGTCGGGGCCCTCCAGTCTGTTTCTATGAACCCTTAGATAATTCTCATGCTCAAGTTGGAGAGCCGCTGTAGGTTGCATTGTAAAATAAAAACTGTAGTAGGACTTCAAAGAGGCAAATCACAATAATCAAAGCTGACATACTATATCATACAGTGTTCTAAGTACTGTATAAGTGTTAACTCATTTAATCTGTACAATGTGGCTGTCAGATATAATGTTATCATCATCATATCATGGAAGGGAAACTGACCAAAGATGGACATATTGTGGATAGGCCCCTAGGCAGAGCAGATGCGAGCATCCTTCTCCAACCTTTTCAGTTCATCATTAAGTCTCCTTTTGCCCCTTGTGTTCCTCTAGGTGTTTATATCCTGCCTTTGCCACTAATTTTTACCAAATTTCACCTTTCTGTAATTCTGTGTATTAAGCATGTGCTCACTCATGGAGGCTGTGGAGTCCGACCAGCTGGATTTGAATAGCTCCACCAGTTAACCAGCTGTGTTACCTTGCACAGGTTACTTAGCCTGTATGAAATGAAGGTGTATTAACTTCTTCATGGGAATCTTATAAAAATTAAATGTAGGATAACACAAAGTGTAGCAATAAATACCAGCTATTATTAGATTATCTGGTCTCGTACCCTTTTATGTAAATTAAGTTTTGTGTACACTTATTTTTTTTTTATTTGACAGATAGAGTTAGACAGAGAGAGAGAGACAGAGAGAGAGAGAGAGAAAGGTCTTCCTTCCATTGGTTCACCCCCCAAATAGCCGCCCTGGCCAGCACACTGTGCCAATCTGAAGCCAGGAGTCAGGTGCTTCCTCCTGGTCTCCCATGCAAGTGCAGGGCCCAAGCACTTGGGCCATCCTCCACTGCCTTCCTGGGCCACAGCAGAGAGCTGGACTGGAAGAGGAGCAGCCGGGACAGAACCTGGCACCCATATGGGATGCTGGCGCCGCAGGCAGAGGATTAACCAAGTGAGCCACGGCGCCGGCCCCTTGAGTACGCTTATTTTTAAGTTTAGTCTGTTTTTTAGTCTAAATTCTTGGAAGAAGAGGGAAAGTTAATGTTAACATGTCTTTTTATATAAAGGGAACAAAGTTCATGTATTTCATAATATACAGTTTTAAGAACACAAATGATATTTCCCACCCATCTCTCCTTCCCTCCTCCTTCCTTTCTTTTAATTTTTGCTGTGATATACTTTCAATTTACTTTATAATCACAAGCTTAATCCTCCACTGAGTGAAGAATTCAACCAGTAGTAAATAGAAAAACACATTGTCCCTCAAGAATATAGACAAGGGCTATAAGCAATAATCAAGGTGCCAGTGTTGTGGCACAGTACAAAGAGCCGCTGCCTGTGATGCTGGCATCCCTTATGGATACTGGATCAAGTCTCAGCTGCTCCACTTTGGTCCAGCGTCCTACTATGGCCTGAGAAAAGCAGCAGAAGATGACCCAAGTGTTTGGACACCTGCCACCTGGCTTCTCCCTGGTCCAGCAGGTGGACGATTCACCCTCCCCACTCTATAATCCTGCCTTTCATATAAACAAATCTTCAAAAAATAATCAAGTCTCAAAATGCCAATTTCACTCATATACATTACGTTTTTTGTACTCTATATTAGTTACTATAAATCAGAGAATAGTAGCTCTGTGTTAACACTAACTTTGGAGATATTGGAGCTAAGTAGATAGTTTTATATTTTCACTCTCGTTCTTATCAGTTCCTCTTGATTGATTTGCCAGGAGCATACAATGAAAACTGAATGGGGGAGTGGGATGGGAGAGCAGGTGTTTAACCTAGCAGTTAAGACTCTAGTATCTTAACTAGGGCGCTATCCCATCAGAGCGCCTGCGCTTCGTTCCCAGCTACTGCTCTGGCTCTTGCTCCCAGATTCCTGGGAATGCAAAGCCTGGGAAGCAGCAATGATGGCTCAGGTCATTGGGTTCCTGTCATCCAAGAGGGAGACCTGGACTGAGTTCTTGGCTCCTGGCTTTGTCCCTGGCCCAGCCCCAGCCGTTGCTGGCATTTGAGGAGTAAACCGGTGAATGAAAGCTGTCTTTCTCTCTGTGTGTCTGCCTCTCAAATAAAAAATTAATGGGGTTATAAATAACTTGAAGTTATGATAACGACTCAACAAACTCTGTAGTAGCCATGAATAAAGTGGAATCGTCATGTTACTTCTGACCACATGTAGTCTGGTATCATGATTCTTTTAAATTTTAGAGCAGATCTTTTCTGCATTAAATATGGGCTTCAATTTTTGTCCCCAGTCAAAATAATAATCTAAGCAGAAAATTGATGGAAAACAATGCATTTGGTGGCCCCAGAAATGTTGGGTGACATGTAAAAGTTCAGTGTGGTGGATTGGAGCTGTGTGAAGAAAAAAACCAGAGATTTAGAACATCATCTCTCTTGCTCCCCAAGCCTAGGATAACACCTCTCCAGTGCAGTGCTTGTGTCTATTGCAATTACACAAGCAGACGGTGGTTATTTGGAGCGGAGGAGAAAATACTGGCAAGGAAAGTACGAAGCTCCTGGAAAGAGTAAGGAAGCAGGTCAATTCAGGGACCATTGCCTGGGTGTCAGTCACAGCCAGGAGTTGCACTTGGTTTCAGGATTCAGAGGAGGAGTGTTGACATTTGTCCCATGCCTGCCTTGTGTCTGTCTAGCATGGCCCAGAGCACCTCACCTACTTGACCTTGTTTTATTCTTGCCACCATTTGGAGGCAGCTCTTAGTATCCCCATTTTACAGATGACAACACTAACCCTCTAAGAGGCGAAGTAACTTTGCTGAGTTCCATTTAGGGAAAGAGGAAGCAGGATTCGGTTCATATGGATCTGTCAACAAAGTCTATATTGACTCATTTTCATGCGTGTACCTCATTTTTATTCAATAATTCTGGAAGTAGGTAATTCGTTTTTTACTTAGTGAAGAAACTAGAGGTTCAGAAAATGTGGATGATGTACATGGGGACCCTGTGACTAGTCAGTGTGAAAGCTACAAATTGTGGCCAGCTGCCTTTTAATAAAATTTGTTTTTATTTATGTAAAAGGCAGAGGGACAGAGCGAGACACAGCAAGATCTCCCATTTGCTGGTTCATTACCCAAATGCCCACAATAGCTGGGCTGGGCCAGGCCAGGTCGAAGATAGAAGCCTAGAACTCGATGTGGGTCTCTCACATGTGTGGTAGGGACCCAACTACTTGAGCCATCACCCGTTGTTCTAAGAACACGCATGAGCAAGTAGCTGGACTCAGGAGCTGAGCTGGGCCTTGATCCCAGGCACAAGCACTCCAATATGGACTCCAGGTGTCCCAAGTGGTGTCTTAACTGCTGCACCAAACACCCGCCCTCCCAGCTACCTTTTATTGAGTTCCTGTTAGGTCCTGCTGCGTATCATCTCACAAGTCCTTGAAGTAGTGTTGCTGTCCACACAAAGCAGAGGGAAATCCCAAACCTCTGGCACCCTGATGAGAAATCCAGAGCAGTTTTCACTACTTCCAGCAGTTGACAGACAATTACATAAACACACACAGAGCTGCGAATATTAGAGGAGAAAATGTTGATGCATTGAAAAGAAGAGCCACACACACACACACACACACACACACGCCTGGAAAAGGCCTTGCCCTTGAATTGCCTCTTTGTACTTTATAAGTGTTTTCAAACAGTGGATGGTAAATCAGCTCGCAGCAGTAATTTGGACAAAACAATCAAAAGAAGTACATCTCCATCCTTAATGCCTACAAGCAAGCAGGAGGTGTGTTCAGATTCCAATCTGTGAGCCCCGAAGGCTTTACATGACAATTTGTGCGGAGTACAAATGACCAGATGTGTCTGCCAGACTGTGATGCCCATCAGTGAAAAGACGCAAAATCTCATCTTTTGAATACAGGACTTGGCTCTCTGGGAACATTCGAGAGTAATCAATAACATAGACTAGATCAATGTGTGGGTCCAGTTATCCTGACAGAGAAAAGGTAACCATTTCAAAATGCCTTTAGCAACCCAGACCACAGATTGTTAGTGGTGTGACTGTTGCTGAAACAGGTGTTGGATTCATAAATTTGCATAACAAAATGTTTTTCTTGTGGCAGCAGCCCATACAATAATTGGTGCCATCTGTATTTATCCGAAGTTTGGTTTCTAATATGAATGCAGAGAATCATCTGCTCTCCAATTTCGTGGTGCCCATTTTATTCTGAGGGTGCCTGACATTAGAGAGCGATACGCATTTCCAAGGAAAATACAGATTGAAGGAAAATGTTCAAGTAATAACATATGGCGCCTTTTCTTCACGGATCGTTCTCATTTCTCACTACATAAAACAAAGTCTTGGCCGCAGTACACACAGAGCTGCTTCTTCAGAGCACTGAGTGGGGAAGCTCCAGCTAGCACGGAAAGCCAGCAGGCCCGGTCAACACGAGGCACTGATTCCACTAGAATCTCTGAGCTAGAAGCTTCCTGTTTGCTTCCTTCCTAACCGATTTGTAGACTCTGGAGTCAGCCACCGACTTCCTATCATTTGTGACTCTCCTGCTTTACTGCTTGATTAAACAGAAGCCATTCGAACTGTGATCCTACATCTGTGTCTAAGGGGTGTGGGAAAACAGAAAGTGTATGAAAACTTGGTTTTTCAAAGTCTGAATAACAGTTTGATGGAATGGTCCAAATAAAGAAGGTCTTAAAACCATAAAAATGGGCCTTTTCAATGAAGACCATAAAATCAACTATGTGGTTCCAACAATTCAAGCACATAACAAAGAAGTAAGATAAATAGTTGCTATAGGTAGACTGTGTGCACATTCTTTCAATATTTTACATTTTTTCCCTATCTACAGGTCCATGATGACCTCCATCAGTTAAAGGAGAAATTAACAGAATTCCCGCTTGAAGAGAAAGGCGAGACTCTAGACATTCAGCATCTTGATACGGCAATCCAGAGAACTGAAATAGGATTAAGAGTAAGTGGAGCTATAGATAATTAAATGAAAAATGGGATGGAACCGAGCCTCTAGGAAAGCAATTATGGTTCTCATAGGACCTGTGTGGTTTCCTAACAGAGTTGGGTTTAAGGCAGTCATCAACTTTCTTATTCTGTTAGTTTTTCAAATTAGAATAATTGTTAAGTGATTGATCAACTTACATCATGTATTCTATATTTAAGGATATTACATGTAAAACTATGCAGTGGTGACTTCTAAAATGTGTTTTGATGGAAAGAACTTAGAATTTAATAAATAATGATAATGGGGCTGGCTTGTGGCATAACAGGTAAAGCCACTGCCTGCAGTACCAGCATCCCATATGGGTGCAGGTTCAAGTCCCGGCTGCTCCACTTCTGATCCAGCTCTCTGCTATGGTCTGGGAAAGCAGTAGAAGATGGCCCAAGTCCTTGGGCCCCTGTACCTGGGTGGGAGGCCCGAAAGAGGCTCCTGGCTCCTGGCTTCAGATGGGTGCAACTCTGGCTGTTAATAATATAATAATATTATTATTTAATAATGCTAATATTAACATTATTAATATTATCAATTAATATTGTGAATATTACTAATATTAATAAAATTAGTATTATTATTAACACTATAACATTATAATATGATATTAATAAAAATCAAATATAAATATAATAATAATAAAATCTTTAAAATAAATAAATAAAGGCATGACGATATTCCTTTTTAAAAATATTTATTTATTTATTTATTTGAAAGTCAGAGTTACACAGAGAGAGAAGGAGAGGCAGAGAGAGAGAGAGGTCTTCCATCTTGCTGGTTCACTCCCCAAATGGCCGCAACGGCAGGAGCTGCGCCAATCCAAAGCCAGGAACCAGGAGCTTCTTCTAGGTTACAGGGGCCTAAGGGCTTGGGCCATCTTCCACTGCTTTCCCAGGTCATAGCAGAGAGCTGGATCAGAAGTGGAGCAGCTGGGTCTCAAACTGGTGCCCAGATGGGATGCAGGTGCCGCAGGGGGAGGCTTTACCCATTATGCCACAGCACGACCTGCAGTGCTGGCATCCCATGTGGGATGCTGTGCCAATCTGAAACCAGGAGCCAGGAGCCTTTTCCTGGTCTCTCACACTGGTGCAGAGGCCCAAAGACTGGGCCATCCTCCACTGCTTTCCCAGGCCATAGCAGAGAGCTATGGAGCAGCCGGGACCCAAACTGGTGCCCATATGGGATGCCGGCACTGCAGGTGGAGGCCTAACCCGCTGAGCCACAGTGTCGGCCCCAACAATATTCCTAACCAAAAAGAATTCATACCAGCATAATGCAGATTTATGGGATTTACTAGGATTCTAAAAAATCAGAGTTTATTTTTCCATAATGGTTTCAGTATTTTGAGTTACTCATTTTTGTAATATTGGAATCAAGTGGGTAAAACTATATTTTACCAAATATACCAAAGAAATATACCAAATTTGGAACAGGGAAGTATACTGCATAGAAACTTCATCATTCTAAAGATATCAAAGGTCAGGGAAGAACCCAAACTTCAGGGCAGCATAACAGTCATTCATGAAGCCAAGATGTGTTAGCTAAAGGGATCCGGCTTCCAAACAAAGTCTGCCTCCATCTTCTAGATCTCTTAGTTTCCCTGTCTCTGCTCTGATTTTACACTTTCAGTCTACGATGCAGTCAGCTTCATACCACGGGATCAGCCATGAGAAACGTGATGTAATCCGTACCTAAAGGCCAAATGCTTTCCTCGGATGTGTGCTTGAAGTCCCTGTAAGAAAAAGACATTACTCTATGTCCGCATTGCCCAGTGCATTTCCCTGGCTAAGGAACTCACTGTGCAGTGTCATGTATACGCAGTGCTACAGGTCACTCAGGCTCAATTCTCAACGTCTGTGATGCTTTTTGGGGTGGTGGAGCTAATTCAACCTTGAGATGCCTAATGATACCTGAAACATGCAGTAACACATAGGATGTTGTGTGTTTTTTTGGTTTAATTACACAATTTAGAGGATTAACCAAATGAGATGAAATAAATTCGTTGAGATCTTAAGTCCGCTCTAATGGCCTACACTTTGACTTTTCTATAACAGATTCACATTGAGAAGTACTTAAATGTTGTAAACCATCATGTGTTAACAACTCCTATCACTGAGAATTTATATACTGTTCAGACTTCCAGATGGTAAGTAAAATAACCACTTTAGAGCCCAAAGTAACATAAAAAATAACCTTTCTCATTCAGATGAGGTGAGTATAAAGGCAATATTTTCTTGGCTTTGTTCAATTCATTCTAGTAACTTCAATTGTAGGTTTATTGAAATATCACACTGTGCCCCATAAATGTACAGTTATTAAATGTCAGTCAGTCAAAACATTTTTAAATGTTTAAGATGAAAATGCTAACCTGATTTGATCATTGCACATCAAGTACATGTATTGACTTGTCACACTATACCTCATAAATACGTATAATTAAAATGTTAATAAAAATAAAATAGGGGCCAGCACTGTGACATGGAGGGTAGAGCTGCCACCTGCAGTGCTGGCATCCCATGTGGGCGCCAGTTTGGGTCCTGGGTGCTCCACTTCCAATCTAGCTCTCTGCTGTGGCCTGGGAAGGTGGTGGGGATGGCCCAAGTCCTTGGGCCCCTTCACCTGCATGGGAGACCTGGGGGGAGGCTACTGGCTCCTGACTTTGGATTGGCCCAGCTCCAGCCATTGCAGCCATTTTGGAAATGGGCCAGGGGATAGAGGACCTCTCTCTCTCTCTCTCTCTGCACCTCTGTAACTCTGCCTTTCAAATAAATAGACAAATCTTTAAAAAAACAAAATGAAGTTAGTGACAAAATTTGGACTTTTTTTTAACTTTTTTTTAATGAATATAGATTTCCAAAGTACAGCTTATGGACTACATTGGCTTCCCCCACCCCCTGCAATGACTTCCCTCCCACCTGCAACCCTCCCCTTTCCCGCTCTCTCTCCCCTTCCATTCATATCAAGATTCATTTTCAATTTTCTATATATACAGAAGATCAGTTTAGTATACATTAAGTAAAGATTTCAACAGTTTGCACCCACAGGGGAACACAAAGTGAAATATACTGTTTGAGTACTCGTTATAGCATTAAATCTCAATGTACAGCACATTAAGGACAGAGATCCTACATGAGGAGTAAGTGCACAGTGACTCCTGTTGTTGACTTTACAAATTGACACTCCTGTTTATGGCATCAGTAATCTCCCTATGCTCCAGTCATGAATTTCCAAGGCTATGGAAGCGTTTTAAGTTCTCTGACTCTTATCTTAAAATTTGGACTTTAATGAAGTTTACTTCTGTGGCGTTCTAGTGCTTGGCACCATGACAATAATTTCAAAGTCCCAGGTTTTAGCATTATTCTTTATTATTGTTCTTTTTTAGTGAAAAGTATCTAAAACTCAGCTCCTAAAGGAGACATTTTTGCACTATTCAGATTACATACTACTTTATTTATGTCCTGTGTGTGCTTTATTGTAAAGGTGATTTTGGTACCCAGGATAAGCAGCACAGAATAATAAAAGCTTGCTTGAACTATCCATCCTGTAATGAATCTTCTGCAATGATTTATTAAAATTAGGATTGAGTTCAAGAGAAGTGGGGTCACCTCACCTTGGATCTTTTTACCTGTAGGCCTCCTGAGTTTGAGTGAATGTAGATTAAAACTTCGTAGTAAGCTAAAAAAACCCTCGTGTCCCCTATTTGCATTTTATACATGTACCCAGTATAAGTGACTAGTATCAGACAGTGACATCAAGTTCAGAAATAGTGCACAAGGAGTCATGGAAAGCTATCAATATGGCCCGGACCAACTCTCTGCTATGGCCTGGGAAAGCGATGGCCCAAGTGCTTGGGTCCCTGCACCCCGGTGGGAGACCAAGAAGAAGCTCCTGGCTTCGACTGGCTCTGCTCCAGCCATTGTGGCCATTTGGGGAGTGAACCAGCGGATGGAAGACCTCTCTCTCTGCCTCTACCTCTCTTTGTGTAACTCTACCTCTGAAATAAATAAACAAAATTTTTTTTTTTTTTTTAAAGAGGGTGATGTAAGTACAAGGGGGATCATAACATGGAGTGGTTACCGTGGACGACTGTAGTCTGGGAAGGGTCAAGCTGGACTCGGGCTCAGGCGTGCAGGAAGGAAAGCACAGTGCTTCGTGAGGAGGAGACAAGAGCACAAATGAAGAACCGTGGAGGGAGCAGGCACAACAGCCGGCACTCGTGGGCCTGGAGGGGAGAAGTGGGAGGAAATGGAGTAGGTAAAGTGGGGGGCAGCTTGGGCAAGAGGAAAGTTCAACTTCATCTTCAGAGAAAGTGTGAAGCCATTGAAGGTTCTGATGTCAAATGATGACATGCCAAATGTGGCATTTTATAAAAACTAATCTGAAAATGCTGTACAGAGTGGATGGGAATGCACGTAGCCTGGAGATGAGAAGCCAGAGGCTAGGTTACCAGAAACACCCACACATTCATGCACTCATTTATCTTGCATTCATTTATTCAACAAACATTTGTTGAATGGCGGCTGCTTACCGAGCAGCATGACGTTAGGGCTCAGAGATGTACAGTCAGACACAGACCTTGCCCTTGCGACTCGAAGTTTAATCGGAGGTGTATGGGTGTAGACAGAGAGGATGTCAGGGGACTGAAAGAGGAGATTAGATTTGAAGCATTTAGAAGGAATCTCAGTGGACGTGAGACTGTGTCGACGTCGAATGGGTGACACTCAAGGGTGACCCCACGTTGTGAGGTCGTGGGCGCTGGGAAGGTAGAGGAGGCATTGATCCGAACTGATAGCCGAGAAGTCAGCTTGGTAGGAAAGAGTGCTCTCTGGTTGTTTGGTTTGAGCTTGGGACTTCCTAATGCAGAAGGCGCTTGACCTGGGGAAGAGGGAAGCAGCAGGTGTGTGGTCCCGGGAAGTGGAAATGAAGAGAAGACCACGGACATGCACAGAGTACCCACCACAGGCCACCTTCGATAGTCCTGGGAGCACTGAGGCCAGAGGTCAGATATGTGCTTTATAAAGCACTTTACAGTTTTTTAAAAATGCATTATTTATGGAATTTTATTTGAAAGGCTCAGATATTTGAGCCATCATTTGCTGTCGTGCAGGATGCAGGGTGCAGGTGGAGACCTGGAATTGGCAGCAGAGGCATCCCAAGCAGCACCTGAGTCACTGAACCAGGTGCCCGCCTCCACCCCATATTCTACATCCGTCCTCTCAGTAATCTGGATGCCAACACTGTGCGTGGTGCTATCTCTGTTTTATGGATGAGCAAAATAAGCTTGAATAAATTGCACAAGATCTCATGGTGGGAATTTCAATAATCCAATCTTCTGACTCTAAATCTGGTGGCTTTTCTGTCATGCTAATGAAAGATCATAAAATGATGTTTGCAAGCATCTAAACACTTTTAAATTCCTAAAATAAAACCGTGACCAGTCTAAGATTTCAAAAATACACACTTAAACAGCTTAAAGAGGTAAAATGTACTAGTCTATAATGGAAGAATGCTTTATTTTTTGGTCATTTATATCTTTAATTATTAAACTTAAGACTAAAACTAAAACTTGCAACTAAATTAATACACATAATCTTTTAAAACAAAGAATCTATAGAGAAAATCCTAAAAGGGACTCTCATAGAAGAAAATATTGGGAGGTTACTTTGGCAGCTTAATATGATGACTCTTAATCAAGAGAGACCAGCAGGGCAAAGTGGGAGGCCCCTGCAGGGGGCAGGCAGGAGGTCCACACTAGGTGGAGAGTGTGTGTTCAAGGGACCACGCCTATAAGCAACCAAAGAGAAAGACTCGGGATGGAGAGGGTGGGGATGAGTAACAGGCAAAGAGGGGTCTGTCACCAGCTCTAATGTAAGAATCCAGTCCTTCAGTTCTCCTCTCATCCGGATGGAGAACAGGGATTCTGGCCTACAGGTGTGCAGATTAAGATAGCTGGAAAGATCTAACTAGGCAGCAGTTGCAACTCACAGGGAACTAAACAGAATGTGTCTGAAGGAGATATTACTTGCACAGTGCTTCTCTCCTTCTCAAGAGTGTCCTGGCCCCTTCTTAGGGTCTGGACGAGTGAAGGAAGACATTGACAGGAGACACGGAGCAGGCACCCGTGAGTGGCCCTTGGGGTCACATCTCTCCCATTCAGTATAATAGTTGATAATCGGCCTCCCTCTCGGGAGCACAGGAAGCCTGCCAACTTTGAATGGGTCCCATGAGCCTGGAGGTGGTGGTGGGGGCTTCTCCCAGTCCTAGCTGTGGCTGCATGGTGCTAAAGTGACATGTAGTTTGCAATGAAATGAGGTGGCTCAAGGTCTAAACACTGGAGCAAAGTCCAAATGGGGTCTTCAAAGTAAACAAGCCTGGGGCAGGTCCTGGACTGTCCAGGTGAGAGCCACGGGGTGCAGCTCAGGGAGGCAGAGAAGCAACAAAAGTAGATGGAAAGAGGAGAATCCAGGAGATGAGAGATTGGGGGCTAGCTGTGCTCCTAGGTAGCTAACCACCCCCGGCCCTGCACTTGTGCTAGGAGCCTGACATGGATACACTTGGCTTCAAAGTCTGGCAGGGCCAGCTGGGAGAGTACTTGTGAAGCAGGTTATGGAACCCAGAATTCCGTCAGGTTCTCATGCCTGAAGGAGCAGGACTGGTCCACTCATGGCATTTGTCTTCTAAGGTTCCATGGCCAAGTCCTTATAATCTCCAAGTAGGAAGATGTTTTCTGTGACTCGCTGAGGTGCTGCCTGCTCGGTCACAACACCGGGCAGGAGGTCAGAGAGGTGATTTCACGAGAGTTTTGAGCTGGGTCAGAAGCTGGACCTGGCCTTTTATTGCACACAGGCATCAGTCAAAAAATGTCTGGTCACGTACCCATAGTATGTGTGTATTTATTTATAAGTTATGTATATTTTTATCACATATAGTGAGTATATTTTAAAGTACACCAACATAGAAACTTTAGATCATGAGATCAAGAGGCAATAAATATTTAAAATTTTTCTACTTTATTAAGAGTTGAAAGCTCTTTTCTTATTTTATTTATTTTGAAAGGCAAAGTGGCAGAGAAATCTTCCATCTACTGGTTCACTCCCCAAATGGTTTGCAATGGTTGGGACTGGGCCAGGCCAAAGAAAGGAACCA